AGCTGAGCCGATGCTTTAACTCCACGTCTCATCCCAAATTTAGTGCAGAGCCCAGCCTTACGCATCCAAGTTGGAAAGTTGCTTTTCCTTATGTGCATCACTTAACATTTGTCTATGTATGATTTTATATACCGCTTTATTACTAAATTACTGAGTAGCACACATAGGCACACAAATACACTCAATATGCACATATGTATATGTGCATTAAGGGTACTGTTGCATATATTTTATACACACACACGCTTAAAAGTTGTTGTTTCTGTATTTAATTCCTCTATCTGCCAATTTCAGGAATTCAATCCCCATCTCTTGTATTTTCATTATAAGCTTTACCCATTTCCTTTCTTGGCTTTGCGTGATTTTTTCCTAACTGTGACTTTGGGCCTACAGTTTCATTTTTTATTTTCAACAGTGGTTTTTTTCAACTTATTCTAGTTTTCTGTTCTCCTGGGATTCCAAACTATTTCTGCATATCAGGACCACCTTACTAACAACTTTTCCCCTCCCTGCTAAAAATGTACGTACTTTGGGTAAACAATGTTTCATAAGTAACTTATGGTATTTCCCTAAAAACAGAGTTTCTCCCTTTTGGGTATGCTGAGCCAAACAATCGGATCAGACACTGGATATATATTGACTGCAGTGCCTATGGACAATCAAAGTGGATCCACTGATTTTAGTGATGTACATTTACTTACCAACATAACATCTGGCTTTGTAAATTCTCTTTGACTCTGTATTAAAATTCTCAGGGAGAAGGAGTTTAAAAGCCTGCCTGCAGAAAATCTCTCATTTTCCACCCCACCAAACCTCATCAAAACCCGAAATCCTACCATCACCGTCCCGAGGAGCTAGCCCTTGCTGAGTCCCGTACAGACTTCTGCACCTCGCAGTTCAATTCAGCTCCCTGAGGGCCACAGTCTGCTCTCCTCCATTTCACAATGCTCGCTGATATTAAAAAGAAACAGACAACGAGAGGAGGAGTTGCATCTCTCCCAACAGGGCCTCCTCCTCACTTTCAAAGCTAACAAAATTGCCACTAATTAAGCCAAAAAGGAAGTGATCCACAAGCAGAAGATAGCAAACTCCTGGACCCAAGGGTCACCAGCCTCAGCTGAGCCACCACGCCGCAGCTCACCCCGCAGCCGTGCAACATGAGCTCCTCAGCTCTGGAGAGAGCACAGCTTTCCCCGGGAGCAGAACAACCAGCCTCGAGGCACCACTACAATTTGGAGGAGCAACTGCGGCTCACAAACACCCTGCAAAGCTGCCCTGTCACCAAACACAGCCACAGCAGGGACCCCAGCTTGGACCACAGCCTGCAAAACCAGGTTTGCCAATGATTCAAGAAATGTAATCTAGCTTCTCCTCTGTCTTTGATAATCAACTTATACCTCCGGTAAGCCCTGCTGCTGAGGCCAGTGCAAGCCATCGCTGACCTCAGCTGAAGCGAGGTCAGACCTGGAGTTGGCTCAGTCAAACGTCTCCAACTCAAACACTGAAAACTCAATCCCTGCTAGCTCCTACTTTCCCTCTCTCTTGGATTTGGGTAAGCCAAAAGGCTCTCTGGCCGGCCACAGACAGAGGTGAATCTGAGCAATGCATGGCCGAATGCCAGGGTCTGTATGCTGCTGGTCAGCGGGAGGGCAAAACGCTTCAGTGGAGATGAACAAAACGCAATGCCCCAGTTTACTGATGAATGACCCCCACTGCGGCCAAGCGTACCCAGGGAAGCCAAGGGGAGAAGCAGCTCAGCACCCAGCATCTTTCTTGGCAGATTACCACCGCACTGATCAATTGCTTCTCAATTATGCACATCCTCATACTCCAGATAGTAGGTCCCAGCTTCTTTGCTGAGATTGTTTACATCTACATAATGAAAGCACAAAACACAAAACCTTCCAGTTCCTCCGTGTATCCGCAGCATGTCACAACCCATTAATAAATTCTAGATGGGAGGAATTAAAAGTGACATCTCTGAAAAAAATGTTACTCTAATTTACCATCAAAGAGCAATCTACAACAAAACCGAACAGCTGAACCACAACTGCAGATGCCTTTAACCCTTCTGGAGCCAGTCTGTTTGCCCAATGGTCCTGTACACTACAGTCTCCCCAGGAGGAATGCTTCAGGCACTTTACTCATCACACTCAAAACCAGACCGTGTAAAATAGTGAGTGAAAGATACCTCCTCTGAGCAATCTCGTACCAGCTGCAAGGCAGGACTGGATGTCTTACAAAGCCTTTTACCAGGATGCTCATATTCCCACACATGTGCCTAAGGCTTCTCACCAAACACTGCTGCAAAGCGGGAAGCGCAGCCCCAGATCCCCTTTTGGGCACAGTGTGCAATAGGTTAAGAAAAATAAATAATCTGAATATCCTCAAAAGTGTCAGCCTCCCTATCCACATTAAGGGCAAATAAGCCTTTTCCATGATTTAGCTGAGCATTATTTCCAGGGACACATGAGTGCTGCTACAATTTAAACCTCAAGGGACAAATGCAAGTGAAATCACAGATCCCCACAACTCTATTGTAAAGCCTTCTTTTGATTAAAAGCAGGTGCTGGCTTTGGCAGGCTGCAGATGGAGTCAGCGCTACTTCACCTCTCCTGGCAGAAGACAGGGGAGGGAGAAACAAGGAGCAACAACTTCTATAGAATGTAAGCATTGTGTAAGTTAAAATTTAAATTCAAAAAAGAGGAGGGAGGGAGAGACAAAGGAAAAAGCAAACACGAAGAAATAATTCTGCTGAATGGATGACATACTTTATCATTTTCTCCTGGCTGAGGATTGACTTACTACAAGAAAAACACTTTAAACAATCTATTTATGCCGTTGTTTGAATGTTGACTGGATTTGTCCTATGGTTCGAAATAAGACATACCGTTCACACACCTAGGATAGTCTTAATATAAATCTCAAAACCGGGTTCAGAGTAAAATGCAAATGGGAGGGAGATTTTGATACCAACTTAGAACTGAACTAACTGAAATATCCCAAATCCGTCCAGTTTCTGGAGGCCAGAAGGACAGGAAAAGGGATGATGTCCTGTATCAGATCAGCAAATACAAACCTGACCTTGCAGTTTAATTTCTAGGTCAGATCTACAAACTAGAGGAAACTGGCCATAAAAATATCATATTAAATTTATTCTCCAGCTGGGCTAAGATAACCACTGATTTGAGAGGCCTTCTCCTGTTTGGAGAGGCAAGCATCCCAATGGGCTCACGCTGCTCGCTAACTGCAGTTCTCCAGCTACCCCTGTTGAAAACAAGCAATACAAATTAAGAAAAACATAAGAGCCATAAAAGCAGGCGAAAGGTCCACCTAGCCTGGCACGGCATCCCTGAGGGCAGCCAGTAGCAAAAGCCCAGGAGAGAAGTGGAGGAAGAGGGCCAGTGATGCCACTGAGCACATTCACGATGTCACGAGCTGCAGGGCCGCGATTCCCGAGCCCAAAGCTGTGCCGGCAGCAGGGCCGGGCAGCTGCTGATAGGGAACACTCCTTCACGTCTGTCCAACTGTCTGAGGACTTAGATTACATGTCTGGCTTTCAAAAACATGGTATGAGGCAACAAATATGTAGCATTATACATAATACTGCAAATGTAATATAACATATAGTATTAGTGATGTTAAGAAGTCTTTCCTTTTTACCTTTTCTTTCTGCCTGGTGCCTGCTGACCGCCCATGTTAGCAGGAACGACGAGGTCCTCATTCCGACTCACTTCCTACAAACTGCCTCTGACTTTTCATGCTCTTACACGTTACGCGCTCCCCCCTCATTTTCAACTGAAGAGCCCTGGTCCACCTGACTGCGAGATTCCTGCAAGCCTTTGATGCTCATTTTTAATTTGGTTATCATTAATAATTCTGTATCATCAGCAGACTTTGTCATCTTACTATTCATCCTTTTCTCCAAATAATTTATTAGGAACTCCACTGAAATTCTCCTTCCCTTTGTTCCCTGTCTTTCAACCAGTCATTAATGCACAAAACAACCACTCATTCTTCAACAGCTACTTTTCTTTAAGAACTTCAGCGAGGGACCTTTTCCAAAGCCTGTAAGACACTGAAGGTACTGTGACAACTTATTCACATGATGACTGGCTCCTGGAAATACCTCCACTAGATTTATGAGGCATGACTCTTCTCTTAAGAAAGCCACACTGACTCCTCTCTTGTATCTGCCTACATGCCTGTCATTCTGCTCTTTACTAAAGTTTCACCCAACAAGTCTGTTTTTAAAGTCAGATTGCTGACCTCTTCTTTGAAGCCCTCCAGGAGTCTTTAAAAAAAAAGTCATCATGTTTTCCACCTTTCATTTTTCTGGCACTGACGCCAGGTTAAGCACCAGGTCACACTTCACTGCTAGTCACTTGACAGTTTTACATCTCAGTTTCTTTAAAATTCCTAGATAAATATTATCTGGAAAGACTTGTAAGCGATAATCCCTTATACAAATTTGCCCTGCAACATCTAATGACAATTCCGTTGGATAAGGTTCCTCATGTTGGTAACACCACCGCCTCCCCAAGAAAATCTCTACTCTAAGCTTTTCCATAACAAGTACCAAGCTAAAGAAGCCAGTTGGCCTTTGGCTGTTACCTCGTAGACTTTTTGCACCTCGCCCATCTATCCCCCTCCACACCCTGTGGCAGGTTTCTTCCTTGTGATTTTGGAGAAAATTTTTGTTAGCTGTATGTCTTTAGCAAGTTGTCTCTGAGAATTTTATTTGGCCTCCCTTACTATGGTTTTACATTTTCACTGTCCAGAGTTCAAACTCCTTTCTAGTCTTCTCATTAAGTTGTGATGCGTACTTCTTAGAAAGCCTTGTTACCTTTCTCTGTTTTTTAACAATGTCAGCTTTTTTGTACCTCTTTAGACTTGGGGGGGGCACAGTTGTGTAGAAGTCCACAATAAGCTTCTTTTTCAGACTAAAATGCAAGGATGGATCCTCACTGAGCAGAACTCTCCATCACTGCTTTGGTTACCTTTTTAAAGAGCCTGATGACATCCTCACTGATCTGCGACAGCCGGACAATGACATTGTTCATGAAGATGTCATTCAGGGTGGCATGATCTCTGCTCTCTCGCCGGGTCTGTGTCAGAACCAGGTACCAGCAGTTCACAGGGGAAAGCAGGTGCTGATCTTTCCTAGAGAATTGTTTAAAAAAAAAAAAAAAAAAAATCAAAAAAGGTCAAGCGAACAAGTCAAAAAGATATGCAATTTTTAAATGAATGCCATCAGCATGTTAACATTGCCTTCCTCCATCACATACATCCCCTAGAATCTGTTGTGCCCCCAGAGAAAAGCGTGTGAGCTCCTCTCGGCTGCCTCCTCTCCCCAGAAACCACTGCAGCGCCCGGCCAAGGAGAGCCAGCCAGCCTCTCCGGCGCACAGCTGCGAGCACGGCAGCCTCCTCCTGCCAAACTGCTCCCGACAGCGCCGTCCCCACCGCCCTGCAGGGAGGACACCCAGCCACAGCATCTCCTGCTGCTGCCACCCCTTGCCTCCCGCTCCCAGGGCCGCAGTCGCTTGGAGAAGCGGTGCAGCTCTGTGATGGAGGCGACCAGTGCACCACGGACTCTCCACCAGCTCAGAGCCACGTCCTTTTGGTGGACACTGTGGGGTCATCGGTGCAGGTCCAGGTGCTGGCCCAGAGCTACTGCCCCGAGCAGGATGGCGGTGCAACCCGGCAGACACCCCATGCCCAGACACACGGCTACCTGCCTGCCAGCTGACCACAGCGGCACCTCCTCTTCAGTGCAGGAAAGGTGCTTAAATATCTCTGCCAACACAGAAGCTCCCAGCCTAAATATTATACATGAGGGTTTCAATCAAGCCAAGGAATTCCCATTCTTTGCCCGAAGCTGCTCTCTCCTGCAGCTTCGTCCTTATTTACCAGCCTCCCACAGCTGCCGGTGGCAGGACAGAGGCTTTCCGTGCAGGGGAGATGGATGCTCTGATGCTAACCCTGGGCACAGCGCTGTGCTTCACTCAGCACACATATATATGGATCTTTGTACACAATCTGCCCCACACAGCTTGGTTTTTCTGCCCTACCTCAACTTCTTGGGGCACCCAGTGCACTTTCTGGTCCGCTGCTCCTTACCTATGCTTTAAAAAGGTGTGGTCTGCAAGAGGTCAGTGAGCAATGTTACAGTAACACAGTGGAGATACTCAGGGCAACAGCTCTGAAGGACCTGAAAACGTGCAAGTCAGCCAGAGACAACGCCAAGAGCTGGTCCGCTGCCCCAGCTGGGCTGGGAACCCATCTGCAGCCCTGCTCCAGTTTCCAGGAACCTCTTTCAGAGTTTCTTTCAGCCATTCAAGTGCTTCCCTGCAGGGACGTCCAGCAGCACGCGAGCACGCGTACCAAATCAGACCTCCAACTAGACCCTTCCCAAACTGGGTGCTCTGGAGGGTGGTACAGAAGAGAGATCCCTGGCAATCCCTTCAACACTTTGCAAGGGAGATGGTTTTGCTTCTTTTTTCCAGTTTGCGCTATTAGTATGGCTGTCACTTCCATTTCAGAAAGAGCCCATTTGCCACACAATCTGTTGTACTGCATTTAGTCCACTAAACAGTGCTGGAGAAAATGTTTTGCATCCAACATTAACACAAAGTGTCTGTGCACAACATGAATACATTCATGTATGCTGAATATTTACGATGGTCTTAATCCAACTTGCACTGCAGACAACAAAGAGATTGCCGTGAGCGGCAGCAGGCATCGGGGTGGGTGACCTGAAGAGTCCCTAGGAGCCATGCAGCATCCTCGGAGCGAGCCTGTCCCCACCCGGCTCTGCTGGGCGAGACCCTGCCGAGGGGCATCCCGAGACCCTGACTCGCCTGGAAGCCAGAGGTGGTCAGAAAAACTCTCTTTTGAGGGAAATTTCAGCAAACATTTCACACTTGATTAGAGCTTAACTAATTGTGACATGCTCCATCTCAACATTGAGAGAAAGCTGCACTGCTCTCCATGTACTGCTTTTAGTACTGAAGGCAAATTAATCAAGAGTAAATAAAAATTTCCAGAAATGATACAACTGAAACAAAATGTTTCACGTGGTCCAACTGAGACACTTTGAGATAGATCCTCTAAATGAGGCAGCCAAGTGATTTGTTCCAAACATTTCACCTACACCGTTTTCTCTGGTCAAACCAATGCTTTCCTACAAGACGTACTGGCTCCAGAGAAACGGCCCCTTTTGGTGGAGACCTCCCCTGCCACCATGCTGCCTGGGCAGGTCGCCCCATGTGCCGACAACCATGCCTGATGGACGTGTTCAAGCCCCAGAGGCTTCTCCCTCCCCAGCGCCTAAAGACACGTGCAAGCTGCCTGGGGAGCACCCATTGCTTCGCCCACACAGGAGTCAGGTCTGCTGCGCACCCGGGCTCGGCAGCCTGCATGCACCGACAGCGCTGGCAACGCGGCCGTGATGGAGATGGGCCTCAGACGCCCTGTGCTCAAACAAGAGTGTCCTTCCCAAGAAAGTCCTGCAATGAGAAAGCTAGCCCACACTCACTACAGCTACACTGTGCAGCCAAAGCCTTCACACACGTACTCCTCCTCATCCAAGATGTTCTCACCCATGGTACCGGGGCTGGTGCAGCCCACCTCACCACTGAACCCGTGGAGAGGAAGACACGGTGACTCCAGAAAATCTCTGCATGCACATACAGACAAAGCAACCACGTATAAAAGCATGAATGAGTCTGTCATCCTGGAATCACCATGAACAGCCCAGCAGCAGCACCACAGCAATTACCACTCTTTAGGGCTGGGCCACAGCCTGCTGCACATGGCTACACAGGGACAAAGGAAGAGCTGAAGATACCCTATTTCTTAAGTGTCAAAAGCCTCATCAGAATAATGACATTCATGAGCAAGCTGGGGAAGCAGTGCAGATGAACCTAATAAAGGGCAGGTACAAAGCAGTCTGCAAGAAAAATATATTGAGGGAGTCTCTCATAACATGGAGTGAGGCACCGAAGACTCAGCAGGAGTGTGCACTGAAAGCAAGCTGACCCTATTAACACTATCAATACCAGTACAAACCACCAGGGACTTGTGCCCAGGTGTTTTATAAAGGTGGAGAATCATTGTCACCTGTAGATACTGCACAACAGCATGCTTTCAATATTGTAAGCACAATAAGCCATGGCAGTGCCACAATACTGCTCTCAGCTGATGGGAGACACACACACAAACGAGCCTTCCTGGGCTCCACCTCTGAAGAAGAGCACCCTCCTGAGCCCAAACTGGCCAATTCCTTCCCCAGGACAGTTATCCCCAATGCATGATAAGGCAGTGCCAGCCCAGCACCACACAACTGACAAGCAGCAGTCAGATGCAAAAAGAACAGACAGCATTTGAATGGCAATTCATTTTCAGCAGACTTTTGCATAAAACAACAGTAAAGCCTTGCTCACTAGAGAGACCAAGTAAACAGATTAAATGGAATTTAGTAATACGGAATAAATAAGATTGAGTAATGTAACAGCAGAAATCGCTGCTCTTGCAGCTGAAACAGGGAAAAAAAAAAAATCACAAGGGGTTACAGAGAAGACGACTGTAAAGAGCCAGGGCTAGCGAGGCTAAGTGCATCAGACAGGCAAACCCCTCAATTTTGTGGGAAAGGAAACAGTGGCTGCAGTCTTTGGCCATTGAATTGAATTACACTAGTTTCACCTTAAGCAAAGGGCATAATCCCAGTTGAGAGAGTATTTTATGGACAGTACTGTCAGAAGAAGAGACAGAGACAAATGCTACGACCAGGGGAGGCAAAGGCGGGGAACTTCAGCTGATGTGCTGCATGGGAAGCAGCCAGGACGAGTATCTGCCTCCATGCTGCAGGTGCTGCTGCCTGGTGCCCAGGGCGCAGACCCTACGGGCCACAGCTCGGAGGCACAGAGGAAAACCCTGACAGCTACCAACACACACATGTGAACACTGAGCATCATCCCATGGAGCCCAGCCTGACACCTCCGACCCGGCACACTCGGGTGCAGCCGGAGAGCAGGGACCAGCTCCTCCAACAGCAACAGGACAGTGGCATTCACAGGAGCCTTGAAGTCACGGCCACCAACCAGCACAAGCTACGTATCCTCACCACAAAACACAGTCACCTCCAGGCTTAAATTCTGTCTCGAGGTTTTTTTTGTTCTTGGTTCCCCCCCCCCAGATCTTTTTTGTTTTAGCTAAGCTTGAGAGTGTCGTTAAACTGAAAAGAGACTGCTTTTGAAAACTTGCACATATTCACACATTCATGGATTTTACAATTTTCATCATCGGTTTGAGTTTCACACAATTCCAGCATCCAGTTCATATTTCCTATGTCAAAGCTTTGTTTCAAAATATTTCCACTATGGATTTGCCTAGCTTCAACATTGTATGGGTGTGTACACAGAAAACATACATACTTCATTTTAAAAAACTGCAATAAACTAGACTTCCAGAAACTGCTTCCAAGTCTAAGCCTGTAAGCAGATCTGTGTGCAATGTGAAGCGCTCTGACATCTAAGGATTGGACTACACACAGAAACCAGAGTTTATAAAATGGGCCTACCATTATTTGCACAAACAAATCAGCGGCTGAATTCAAGCCTCTTAAAAAAAAAAGAAAAAAATCAAGGGGCTTGACTCCTTCCTAGTCCCCAATTCATATTTTTATTGCACTGCTCAAAGTAGCGCATAGTAAGTCTAATTTGGGCAGCACAGGTGAGTAACGCTGTGGTGAAAGTCTTGGAAAAAGACATTTCAAGTTCTTTGTGTGAACCCTGCACAGTGATAAGACAGACAACGTCACCACTGATGCTATTTAGTTTACTCCACTTTCGGACTGTGCAGCTACAAACAAACATCTAGTATTTGAGGCAGTCTCTGGCCCATCATTTTGCACCATTTTGCCCCTGGAAATGCTTGCTTACTTGAACTGGTGCTCTCTGGAGCTGCGTATCTTGGAGGAGAATCGTTCAGCCAGTTTCTCCAGGCTCCTGGAGTACTCCAGCTCAATCTCGGCCTTCCTGCGGAAGAACTCCTGCAGGTCTTGCAGCAGCTGCAGGCGCGACTCCGACTGCTGCTCCAGACATTTGAACTGCTCGACCAGCTGAGTTCGGATTTCTGCATGCACACAAGAGAGGAGAGGAAGAAAATACAACATCAGCAACAAACACTGGCCAGGAGGGTTGTCTTTCCTTGTCTCAGAGCAAACCGCATAGGCACTGCTAGAGAAGGCTCCCTCACGAGCCTCAGGTTTAATTCAAGGCTTGCTAAAGCCAATAGACTTTTTTTCCAAGTGAGAGCTGAAGAATTTCATTCACCAGTCTCACATTAAAACCTTGTTCTTTGTCAAAATAAACAACTGCGTAAGTACACAGAGACCAACCCTGAGAGCTTTTCAGTTGCCTTTTTGAAACTAGATAATGATACTTCAGTTTTTCTAGTACTACCTGAAATCCTGTATTCTTTGCATATAAACTAACATACTATTTCTTCATAAATGATCATTTGAATACCGACATAACAGCTGACAATGACCTGAAGGAAGCTGGCACTGTAAATGCATACTCCTCTCACCCACGCCCGCCCAGTGCTGCCAGGTTAACTGGCAAATCAAACTCGTCTTTGGCTCAAAGGCTTAAAAAGTCTTTCAGACCCTCCAAACTCCAGCTCATAAAACATCACAGACTTTATATGTTCCAGGTTTTTTGGCTTTCTCATAAGGACCTTCAGACACCGTGACAGATACACTACAACCCCCCGCAAGCTCTGCGGTGGCTGGAGGGTGCCTGTGTGGAGGAGGGAGAGGGGAGGGGAGCCTTGGGCAGCCTGCCTCTGCCGCAGCATCGCCAGGGTGCCTGCTGCGTCCTACAACGAACAAGCATCCCACAAGCAGCAGGCAGACCTGTTCTCCAGTGCTGACCCTTATCCGGCACTGCCCATAACCGATATCCTCAGGCACACTGAATTCTGTTCAGCACATTCAAATTATTGGAAGACCGTTCTAAGGTTTCTCCTCTCTATATGTCAGAGTTGCATTTTTCACCTTCACCAGCCTCATTTTGAGGACACTTCTCTTGCATGGTAAAAGACCAATTGCACTTTTTCCAGCTCCCCCTTCTCAGGTAACACAGCCGAGGCTGTAAATCCCCGACACAGGGCTTATCTCGGGAAGACAGGCAAGCACCGGAGAAGGAAACGCTGCTCACGAAGCGCAGTCAGACCCTTTGCTCTCTCTGCAAGAGGAGCTCCTGCAGCATGTGGTGAGACAGAAATACACCTTCCAGACCGCTTCCCAAACACGGAGAAGGTTTTTAGCAGCTCTTCAAAGCACTGCGCGGCGAGGAAGCCTGCGCAGGGAGTGGCTGCCTCTTGCAGGAGCTGCAGCTGGGCCCTGCCCGGTGGGAAGGGGAGCCCCATGGGGAGGGGGCGTGCAGAGCTGGAAATGCAAGGAAACAACAAGGCTAGATGGTAGAAAAAATATTCAGAGCAAGAACAATTGGGCTGAGCAGGCTTTCTGAGGGGCAGCTGCACAGCAGAGGCATCAGACAAGCCAGAATCACAGAGGCCGGATGATGAAACGGGTCCCTGCAATGACTGCCTGTTCCCAGGCCCCAAGGGGAGAAGGGAGAGCACCCCTCCAGGCCCTCCCCACCACTGCACACCCACCTGCAGAAGGCAGCTAGACAGACATCTCATCTGTCAGTGGGTCCCCTCCAGCAACAGCGTATTACTGCATGTGCTCACCTCGAGAAACTTAGCTTTGTCCCCCGTGCACCGAGATGCACTCTGTTGAGCAGACAAGGCACTTGCGCCATTTTAGTACATCCACAGAAATAGGCTTTTTAATGCTATAAACTTTTTTATAAACAATCCATGATAATGTGATTATATATATTTTTCTCGCTTTGGTCACCTGTAGCTGATAGACCCCAACAGGATACATTTGCAAAGCATACCTAGCAAAAAAGCCAGCAGAGAAGCTCAGCGGCGGGAGCACAGCATCACGCCTGCCCCCTTCGCCGTCTGTGCACCCCCAGGGCTCGACGGGGCCAGTGCGGTACGGGGCAGCACACAAAGACACCTCCGAGAGCCTCTGTCCCACCTTGTCCCCTCCCTGGCTGCCACAGACGTGCCCATTCACTGCTGGCCTACTACTAGCACTAAAAGCACCGCCACCAGTTCAACTCCCTTCTGCCCTAACACTTAACATTTCCTTTCCAAATTAGTGCCTAGATCCCCGGCAAGCTCTGCAGCCCACCAAATATGGGGTGAAGCGCCATCTCCACCTCTTCTTTGCCCAAGTACCCTACAGCCTCCTTGCATGGTCTAGCAAAACTGTGCAACCCAGAGGGCAAATCCTACACTCCACCAACGAGCCCTCGGGCCAGCGAGCCGCTCCCTGAGCATGCCCGCAGCACCCACAGCCCAGCACTACAGCACCCAGACACTCGCACCACACCTCACTGCTCGGTGAGCCATTTCTTTTTTAATGTGACAGACCAGACCCACACCTGATCTAAGCTGACAGGCAGCTCTTAAAACATGAAGTTTGACTGATTTATAAACACCCAAACTTCTGGCCCTTTTTGGGAGGCGAGGGTGGGGGGGCAACAGAGGAAACGAGAGCAAGAGGGGAAAGAACATGATGTTGGTGGCACCAAAGCTTACGATTTCAACTAGCACCACATCCCAGCTCAGACAGCATCCAGGCCACAGGTCACAGCTTTCCCTCCATCACCTTATGAGCTTACAACACATTAACTGTTAGCTCCCAAACTCAGTGCATCACCAAACGAGATGAAGCACGTGCACACCACCATGTATGCACACACACACAGGAGAAACAACTCGTGGTTATTGGAGAAGCTGTGCATTGGGGCTCACTGAAACGGGCAGCCCTAAGTTTCCTTTCCCCAGAGTATCTCGGGCTCCACTGTTAGCCAGGAGGCTCACGGACATGACAGGAGGAAGACAAGTGACAGGTATTTGTGGGTGCTTGTTTTGTTCAAATGCTTCGCCGTGCAGCTCACGGATTTTGCTGCACCACAGGACAGCAGGCTCCAGCGCACTTCTGGCAAGCCTGCACCAGCCTGGCAGGCAGAGGAAGAAGCAGCTCCCAGGGGACTCCTCCGGCTGCCGGCAATCACAGTGGGAACCCTGGGCAGTACCAGCCCCGCTGGACCGCAGGGCACCCTCTGCGAGAGGTGCAGAGCCCTCCCGCACTGCGAGGGCATGCTCGGCCGCCTACAAGGATTACCAGGAGGGGACTGCAAACACGAGCTCTTGGGTGACCTTCTGCCTAGGTTTTCCGCAACAACAGGAACTGTACTTTCTTAGACTTCTGCTGCAAGGCTGCAGCACGCTGAACTGTCGCTGTCTACGTGATAGGAAGACTCAGCCTGTACTAAGAAGGAAGTACTAAAATTGGTAAAGATCTTTGGCAAGAGAGCTAGACTTCATCTTTGTTTCCTTCTGCAAATTCAGCATGGCAAGACAACAAACTGTAACTTACCCGCAAGGGCCACAGCAAACTAAAAATACCTGTACTGCCTGAGCACACGCACATGAAATCACCGCGTCGTAATTGGGAAGCTCAATGACCTGAACCAAGACAATACAGTGGTGTCATTCCAATGCATCAGATAATATTGAGTATGCAAACATATATATATATATATATATAAAAATATATATATAGATATATACACAGAGGGCAGGCTAGCCCTGCCAGTCCCCTGCCAGCATCAAGCTGTCCCACAACTTCACAACTACTGCATGGTCCTATCCAGACAATCGTTACTCCATACTGGCCACTGAATTGATAAAATTATTAAGTAAAGATCATGCAAAGCACTGACTGAAATCACAGAAGATTTATGGACAATTTCAAGCTCTTTAAATTTGTGAGGATCCCACGTGGAGGAGGTTAAAATTGCCATTATAAGAATCTGATATTTTTCAACATTTCTTCATGGAACAACTATCTTGCGAGACTGAGCCACTCACGGCCTGACAGGTGAACTTGGAGAGCTGCAGGAACAAGGACACCTGCAGCAATCTCATTACTGGGTAATTTAACGATGGCGATAATGGGACTGGAGGCTGCAGGCTGCGTGAAGGTCACCTAAAAACCAAAAGCTCCTTGGAAATAATGAATGCTGAAAACTCCAAAGTTAATCAGTCACCTTATGTGGGATCCTCCGTGGGCACTGCTTTTACAGCACTTCCTTTATTTTCTTGATACTTCACAAGAGGATAGCACGATCGTTCATAAAAATTGCATCTGAGGCTCATACAGAGTCTTGGCAAGGGACTTAACACACTGCACTTGGCCACTAGCAAAGCTATTTTCCATTCCCGAAGTGTGTCTGGATAACTGCGTAACCATCCCTGCAGTGGCCAAAGCACTCTAACTCGTTTCTGACCTACATTCATCCCATCTGCAGACACGAGGATGCCGGACACAAGAGCCAGAAGGGCCGAGGCCCCGGGCAGAGGAGGAAGGGTGACGCGCAGCAGGGATGCTCAGCACAACTGCTGCCTCCACCCAGGCGGTGCCGCACGGTCAGGCTCCCCTGTGACTCGGGGCATCTGCTGCACACAAACATCAGCCCTCATTCACAGCTGAGCTGCAGAACACCCCAAAATGAAAGACAGTTCCGCCGTATAAGCAATGCTAGAAATAACCTTTTTTTTTTTTAAAAAAAAAAAAAAAAGGCTGCTAAAAGAATGGAAAAAAAGAAATTAAATTCTCATTGCAAATGAGGTCTCAAAGTGGCAGAGCATCTCGGTCTTTACTCTTGCATCAAAACGAGCAGTATCCTATCCCTGTGGTATCCAGCACCACACCAAAACACAGAGGCGCACACCTCACAAACAACGCTGCTTCTCATGCCCTCTTCTTCACATTTGCACTCGTATGCAGAAAACAGATTTGCTCCCCTTGCAATGGCACTTTTTCTGGGGAGAGAGGAAGGATGCTTTAATGCCACACAGCAATATTTACCCTGGTTTTGCTACAGAATTGCATGGGAATGCCTGGAGAAGCTGAGTGAACTTCCAGGAAGCAGCACTCGGTCATCACACCTGAAAGCTGGTCCAGTCCTTGGC